AATTGGTATTTATTTCTTGACAGTACGATTGCCAAGTGTCCCTCTTGGACCTACGTAGATTTTTCTTATATTCTTTCAGAGAGGTTTTGTAATTCAGCCAATCACTCTCATTATTATATAGTTTTGCTCTGTTGAAGAGTCTCCTACACTCCTTTCGTAAAAGACCTAGATGTTTATTCCACCAAGGTGGGTTACATTTCCTACTAGGTTGTGTGAGGGGACAAGCATAACTGAAGGCTTCGTTGAGCACTGAGGTGAGATCTTGGACTTGATTGTCTAGATCAAAAGTGTTCCCAGGGGGATCGAAGGAAGTGGTTAAAAGCAGCTCACTTAGAGCTGCATTATAATTCGTCCAGTTTGTGTTTTTAACATTTCTAAACGTTTTTTGATTGTAGATGTTCGATTCATCTAAGGTTAAGGTGAATTCTAGAATCATGTGGTCTGAGAACGAGTGTTGAGTGGACACTTTCCAGTTCTTGACCGATTCGTGAAGCCTAGCAGTAGCAAGAGTGACATCTAACATTTCCTGCCTGTTTTTTGTAATAAAAGTTGGCTTATTGCCATCATTGCAGATGAACAGATTGTTACTAAATACAAAATCAAAAAGTAACTCACCTCTTTCATTGGTATTTGAGCTGCCCCAAATCTCATGATGAGCGTTGGCATCGCAGCCTATTAGAAGCTCTACCCCGAGTCTCCTGGCGCTGCTTGTTAGCTGTATCAGGACATTCGATGGTAGTATGGCATGGTCATGTGCCAGATATGCAGATACTGCCCATATTTGGCCCCAGGAGCCCTCGATACTTACTGCGGTTTGGTCACCATCACTATATTGCGAAAGTAAGAGAGCATTAAATTTTTTATTAACCACTATGCAGGACCTAGGCTTACCCTTATTTACCGCATAAAATAGGTTGTAGTTACTAGCCCTGATTCCGCACACAAGATCCTTATAAATCCATGGTTCTTGTATCAGGACCATATCAGCCTCGTTGTTGCTGAGGCGTTGCAGTAGACTGGCGGATGTAGCCTTGCTATGATGCAGGTTAATTTGGTGTACCCGCATCTTCAGTATGTGTGGATCCATTTTCCTCCACCACAGTGACATCAAAAGCACTATCCTCCTCAGAGTCATTACTCATTAGGAGTTCCTCTTCATCGAAAAGATAGCGCATGCCTATGCTCTCCTCTGATGTAATTGAGTGAGCTGGCGAAGGAGCAGACATTGAAATGTCCATGCACACAGGTGAGTCTTCAGATGGAATAACCGGACCCACTTCGGTCATTGAAGCAGGCTTAATGTTGCCCACTTTCGACAAGGGATCAGCAGTGTGTTGAGAAATTGCCGCTGATTCCCGTACATCAGACGAGGATTGCTCCTCATCTTTTTTGTAGACCCTCATAGTTATGGGGAAAAAACCGTAATTTAAAACGCCACCAGATCGCGCCAAAATGGCCAGAGAGGCTTTGTCGATCACAAAACTGACCGACCTAAACTTGCCTTTGGCTTCTTCCAGCTTGGTGACCTTCCACGTGGACGTATTTAGATCAGGGTTTCCCACCCGAATTAGCTCCAGAATCCGCTGAGGGTCGGATGATTCGGCTGGAATCCAGGAACGCGCCCTAGGTCGGCCAGGAATTTGTTCCTTGGCAACGACTTTAAGCTTTGCGCCTGGCCAGACCTCACCCATTCTGGAGATGGCAATGCGAAAGAGATCAACAGAACGCTGATCAACGCAGGCGACTAGTTTCACATGGCCCTGAAACCATCCACCGTCGCGACATTTGGGAATTGTACCTGGAAATTCCTTAAGAACTTCGACGTACAAGTCAAGGAGCTTTCGCTCAATTTGATCCCATTTTTCAGGATTAATAGTGCCATCTGGATCATTTTCATCAATGACCGCCATTATGATGGAGCCCTTCAGCGTGTCGCTAAAGGACTTAGTAGTGGTGGCGTTGCCACGAAATTTTGCCTTTTTGGCATCTGGCTTCGAAGCTGACTCATCTAATGAGCGCTGGCGCTTCGGTACAGGTTCCTTTTTGACTTCCTTAGAAGTATCAAGGACCCGTTTGGCCCAGGCTAATCTAGCCTTAAGAGACTCGGACGTAACCGAGACATTACCATATCTCTCGAGCAGCCTAGTCGCCGCTCGCCGTTCTTTATAAATTCTCCTGGATGGAGAGCCCGACCATGCAGAAGGGCCAGAACGCGTGGAGATTCCTGGTTTATTAGGAGGTACCCTGTTATTACCGCTAGAAGTTGCGGTAGGTACCTTGGAACTAGCCGTTCCAGAAGAGCTTGGTTTAACCCAGCTTGATTTTTGTAAATTTTTTTTATAGTTATAGTTTACTTATAGTTTACTTATACTTAAATTTATCTCCAAAAACTTAAACAGGTAGTGTTTTTCCATTACTGCTCAGTCTCCATATATACATTGTCTGAAATGCCACAAGTTTTGTGGGTCGTATCTTTACTTCTCAATAACATTGTATCGTTTTCAATCTTTTTTTCTTTGAAATTCCTATCTTCATTTAGTTTTAAATTGTACTTTAAACAAGTTTCAGATTACCAATGTTGTACAAACCATTATCTAATTTTTGAAAATGTTTTTGAGGTGTTCAGAGATAATTCAAAATACGAATTTAAAGTACTGAGTGAATTATTATTGTATGTTAAAATAAGCCGTTTGTGATTCAATTCCTCTTCATGTATAATAGCTTCCACTCTATAAAATTACGCTATTAACTATAAATATGCATTTGTTGTGCCTTTTTTCTGAATAACTTTCTACCATTCCTATTACATGCAAGTAGGCGCTTTTATATCTAAATTAAAATAAATTCCACTTATTTGAATTTAAACGATTTTTTAAGATTTAATATAATTGAAATTGAAAAGTGTAAGTTAACTAAAAACTGTGTTATATTGTCCTTATTAAATATATTAACATTTGATTCATTCATTACCACCAAGACCGAAATTCTTTCATAGTCTAATGACTGAGATCTTTACGACTCATTCCAAAGAGGTAATGTGGATTCACGTCTCTACATATTCTAATTCTAATTCTAATACATAAAGTTACTAAAACATCAAAACGAAATGACATGAAAACTATTGCATAGACTCGTCCTATAGAAAGATTAGTTATGGAGCAGGCGGTACCCTTCAATAATAGCGCTATATAAATGTACATTGCTCTGTAAATTGATTTTACATAACTGGTAACCAGTGTACACCAATACTGTTTATATAAAGTTTAGTCTTTGCACTAGTATTCAAATTAGACCTATTTTTTACCAAGGTAGTTATCGTTAATTTTTCATCGCTATGAATGTTATGATATTGTTATCACCATTTTATAGAATTTTATGTGTAAGTAGGCCATGAAGGTCATGAATGAAGCTCACAAATATTTTCTAACAATCCACATTTTACATAAATCCGAATAACGAATTCTCATTTCAAAATTTTCTATAGTTTTGTAAACAGAATTTTTTCAATAGCAACTAAGTTGACATAATGACGAAGTGATTACCACAGAAAAGTGGAATTCAAAGGATAAGTAAGTGTAACGGAGTTTAAATTTGAGTTCTAAAATAGCACTTTTTGTTGCGAAACGATGAAATCATGCTCTTCCAACTCATGCAGATTCACCGCCAGATCTACTCATGCACAAAAATCCCCTTCAATGGTGGCTGCGAAACCTGCGGCTGAAGCACTCGGCAAAGTAAAGCACAAAATTAAACTCCTTGGATTGCAATCCATTCTTGATATTTAAATCTCGTTTGTTACGAATATATTTTTCCATTACACAAGTTTTTCAAAAATATCGTCTCATTGACATTTTTGACAAGAACAAAAACCATCAATTACAACTTCTAGGACATAAACTCACAATTTTAACAGAACAGCAACAACAACAACAACAACAACAACAACGATTATTAGTACACAGTGACAGCAAAGCAACAAACTGTGTAAAGTATCTAGAATCAAATGTGAAAAATGTGCTGACAGCGCAATTTTTCTTCGTCTTCCTACTCTCATACTGCTCTCTGCTCCCTTCTTTTAGCACTGCTGGTGCCATTCACTGAATTGAGCGCTTCAAAAATAAACAAAAATAACAAATTTAATAACAAATAAAATTGAAATGTAGGCGGTGAAGAGTAGAAGCAGAGATGGAAGAAGAAGCATAAGGACTTTCCAGTGAAAATGATTTAAAATTGTTGAATTCATGCATTTGGATTGTCATAAGTGGAAAAAAGTCGTTAGGACATAAATTTATGCCAGAGCTTAGTCATAAACCGATGCTTTTATTGCTTATAATTATAAAGCACGAAGCTTATCGCGATTTGCATCAGGTAATGCGTTTAGTTCCCGTTGACCGCTGACGCAAACATTTCGAAAGCTAAAAACAAACGCAACGCAGCGCCGCATAGCTGCATATTTGCACTGGTCATTGACCAAACAAGAATGTCTACTCTGCACTTGCTGCCGCTGTTTTAGTGCGCTGCTGCTGCCGCTGCAGTGCGGCGCTGCAGTTATCGTCTCTGCCTTTCCCTACACTTGGCACACTTTGAGCGGGAATAACCATTATTACAAAGAACAAGCGTCAAACTGAACCAGCGCAGTTATAAAATTAAAGCGAATGAAAGAAATGAATAAACAATATGTACCAGCTTCGCTGGCATGAGCTGCAGGGTTACGCCGAAGGGTGTGGGCGCTGCCATAATTTGTACTTCTTGTTAACATTTCACACAAAACCACAAGAAATGCAAAAACAAAAGCACAAATAAAAACCAACAACAACAAGCTTTTGCTGTCATCTTTTTCAATACCAACAACAACTCTGCTGCTGAACTGCTGTTGCTGTTGCTGTTGCTGATAGCCAGCGCTTAAAAGAAATGCACACACTCATACACATACACATACATATCCACTCGTAAATGGCCATAAATAATAACAAAACTCAGAATGAGAAGGATTCTGTGCTAAACCAATTTTCGGGGGTATAAAAACCAAAAATTTGGCTTTTTAAGAATCAATTATTAAATTTCAGTCGAAGCATAAACTTGAAGATTGCATACTAAGTGAGCGACAGTAAAAAGACAACAACAATGCCCAGTGATAAACTCGGGCGATTTCGAGCATTAAACAAATTAAAATTTTAAATTTTCTTTAAAGCTCCTAAGCGGCCATAAAATGAGACGTGCTTTAATTTTGGCGACCATTATTTGTGTCTTTAGCGTGCTTAATGTGGCGGAAGCACGTTGGACAACAACTACCAGAAAAAGCAGGACAACGACAACAACAACACCAACAACGAAAGCGACACCTACCACTATTAAGACAACGACAGCAGCTGCATCGAATAATGCTGATGATGACCGCACCTATCATCCCGCTGAAGTGCTTAGCCCACGACTCATTGAGAGATTTGATAAACGTTCTTTGGACGGTCATTACGAGTACAGGTGAGTGATTTGCATATTTCCATCTGTAATGATACCACATTAACCAAACAGAAGAAGAAGAAACCGAAAGAAAAGAATTCAATTTTAAGTACTCAAAAATCCTTCAAATGCTACCAAATTAATTTTGGAAGAAAATTTGCATCCATCCGAAGGTCTAAAGTAAATATAATCAAAAGTAAACTCATTGCTATTTACTTTGCTCTTTTAAAGTGATTATAGAATTAATGTAGTGTAATGTTAGTGGTTTAGTTACTTAATTGTTCTTAGATGGGTACCAATGGCAAACTATCTTATGGAACGCGGGCTAGACTAACATTAAAATTAAGAAATTGTAATATAACTAATATATTTTGAATGGTGCAGGTGGATAAAGCTTTAGAATGGGGTCCAAAATATTACTCGAACACGAAGAGAACTTTGACTGATAAATTAATGGTTTTATTCAGTTCCCTTCTAAAATAGACAGAAATTCCTTATCCGCAATTGGTAATAATTAAACTTGTTTAAAAACTGCAATACCCTATCTTAACAGTAAGTCGTGCACTTATAAATTTTAAATATCTTATTTGATGATATACAATCTAAAATTGGTAAATATAATACTGTGTAATTTTAATTGGAATGCATATATCACTTCTTTCATTATTGAAAAAAGAATATTAAAGCTAAAAAAAATTTTAAGTTAATTTTATTATCAATTCGTTTATGTAACACAAATTACAATGACAAAGAAGTCACTTATACTTAATTACGGAAATTCATTAGTTATTATACTGATTAATGAAATATTATTTAATACTCACATTGATAACCAAACTATTGAACTATTCTTTCATTCATTCGTTTGCACAAACCAAGTCGGTTCACTTTGCCCATTTAAGTAAGTCAAAATGAATTTCCACTTTTTCACTTTTTCAGATATGTCTTGAGTAATGGAGACACTCGTTATGAACGGGCATACTGGATACCAGTTGGTAAAAAGATGGTTTTAGCAAGAAAAGGATATTATTCCTATCCAATGCCAAATGGAAAATTTTTGACAGTATTTTATACAGCAGATCAGAACGGTTTCCATGAAGTATCCTGTAAGTATGAAATACTAAGAAAATTATATAATTGTTAAATATAAAAGATGAATTGAGCAATAAGGA